GCCTGCATAGTCTGCTCGGCTACACCAACCCCGTATTTGGTACCCGCCACGTTCTGACTCCTCTGTGTCGTGAGACCCGATTGCCCTTTCTGACAATTGCTCTTTCAGTCTCAACATTTCATCTCTATTTGTGTAAAACTATTTCCAAGCACTGACAAAATTTTATTGTTCATAAAATTGAATTATAAGAGCAACTGTGGACATACCATTTAAGCTGACCCCGCTGGTTCAATAGATGAGAGCAGCACAATGAATTTTCATCAAGAATGACTTAGATGCAAGTTGTTGCCAATAAAAATCGTTTCATCCTGATCAAAGACAATGGCTGTGTTCCATTTCAGATATACTTTCCAATTTAATTCGCCTGTGTTGTGTCTAAAGTGAGAGGGGACTTCTATGGGGAAAAGCTAATGAGACTGGAAAGCTCCCAACCAGATTCTGTAAAAGTTCCCCATCCAGAGGGGGAAATGGACTTGGTGTGAAAAATGACTTTGCACATTAGCATCTGAGTTGCAGGGTGTGAAAGAACTCATTCCGTGTCGTCAACGGGAGGGAGAACCTCGACACCAAATGCAGGGCTCAAGACCGCATCCTGAGGGTAGGAAGCTGGGGTGAACTTCCACCTCCTTTTCCCACCCAACACACCATGGAAGACTTCAAAGCCTGCGTCGTGCTCAAAATGTCATCGTGACTCTGTTTCAATATTGGTTCTCTCTTCCAAACAAACCGTGAGGCCACCAGGGATGCTGGGGGTCTCCACTGAGTATTAGTGAAGCATGAAGTTGAAGATTAAGTTTAAAACGAGCCTGAAGGACACCAGCAATACTTGATGTATTACCCAAGCCTGGACTCTTCTGAGCCAAGGGGGTGCTATTAATAATTACGAAAGAACTGTTCGTGAATGAGGGTGCATGAGGATCTAGATGTTGGGTCATACCACCAATATACTAGGACCCAAGGAAGTTTATCTCCTCTGAAGTATGTCAGAACGTCTCTAGGTGGTACGCAAGGTGTTCAAAAGGGGATGAAACTAAAACCATGAACAGAGGACGAACACTGAGATTAGCCTTCAAAATTAGTAACTATAAAGTACAGAGTCCAGAGAGAGGCTGCAGAGAGGAGGGCCATGGGAGTCTGTGGGCTCACAGCAGGCTTGGCCCCCAAAGGGCACGGACGGATGGCCAGGTGAGTATCTGCCATCTGTTCCAGAACATACTCAAGAGCAAGCTGCACTTGAGCACTTTCCAAAGAGTCACAGATACAATGATCTGATACAAACTTCACGTAATTGTTCAAAAAGTACAGTGCTATTTTGTGAGCAACTATCAGGAACTAGTGGAAAAGCCTAACACAAGGACTGCTTTTATATGCTTAAATATAAAGATGACAGCAACATCACGTTTAAAGGACTCTTGCAGAAATCCAATGACGTCTCTGTGATATATTTCCTAAAGAGAGCAACAGCTAAAATATACACATCTGTATTTCTACATGCTTCTTCAGACTCAAAGAGTTCTAGAGCTTCAATAAAAGCAGGCACTATAGGTTCGTCGTTTCTGTTAGATTTCTTGTAAGCATGTTAGGGTCGCTTAGTACAATTTAATATAGTTCTACGTGAAGCCTAAAAGAAAATGTGTTTGTGTAATGGGTTATGTAGGGAATTCTCCACTTCAAATATAAGACATCCAGAATATATTCATTTTTTACTTTATTAAAACAAAACTATATTTCTGTGCTTCTTACAATACATTCACAGGCATAAAAGTCAATCAACATTTCCCCGTTCGCTCGTGAAATCACACAGTTATTTTACAGTACTTTGTGGTCATTCCCTGTAGGACAATCTACAGTTTCCTTGTACAATGGGCAAACAGTTTGACACCTTCCATCACAGCATTCCAGAGCTTTAGTCATTTCGGAAAAAAAGTGTCTTTCCAAAGCAATCATTAGCTTGTATTAAACTAAAATGCTAAGTGTCAAGTCTCAAGTTCCTAAAAAGAGTGTTTTAAAAACAGACTTACATCTAAATTAAGTCTTTTAAACCTCAGTGATAGGTCTTAAAGACTAGAACTATCTGTGGATAAAAATCTGCATTCGATTGTGCAATAGTTCCTTCTCAATCTGAATTTAAATCTCAGTGATTTACTTCAATTAATCCTTTTGTTAATTTTATTACTTTCAGTAAAAAAAAAAAAAAAAAAAGGCCAGGATCAGTGATGGCCAATCTCTCCAAAGGAGAGTTCTGACCACCTCCTGTGCTTATTGTTTCTAGAAGAGGAAATACACACCTCTTAAATGCAACAGTTGATCAGATGGATGCATGCAGATTCCTCCTCAGACAACGCACCAGTCCCGCCTCTTGCCCTCCACTGGCTATTGCTTGGTCTCCCTAAAGAGCGACCTACTGCAGTGCTTCCCAAGCTTTCCTGCAAGAGGCACTAGTGAGAGGTTCATCAGTGTCCGCACATCCTGGAAAGGTCCTGGAGTCACAATCAATTGGGAGATGCTGGCTTAGCACCCACGGGCCCTGAGCCCTTGCTGCACTGAGGATATTCTGAGTTTCTAGGAAAGCGGCTCCGTGGGTCAATGCGTTACCGGTAGTACTTGTTCTTCTGAACACCACAAACATCTCACAGTGTACTCACTCACACACAGCTACGGGGAACGCTGCTCCCCCTCGGGAGACCAGGGGTTCAGGGCCTGAGCTCACATTCACTACAAACCCTACTCTATTTTCTCCGCTCACCTTTGTGAGACTTAATAGATGTGAGAGGGAAGACTCAACTAGTACCTTCTCTGTTACAAGTTTACACAGTAGACATTAATTCTTTCCCTTTATTTTTCTGAAATATTTAAGAGAGGAAAAAATTACTTCCCCTCTTCAGAACTACTTAGGCCATTCTGCTTTTGAAAGAGTACAGCTTCATATTGCTTATTCTTGGGGTTTTTTATTTTTATTTTTTTACTTGACTCACAGTCTTCCCCTGGAGAACATGCATTTCAGTTTTTAGAGAAATGCAATAGAGTAAACTGTAATAAATTATTTACAAGCACCTAGTTTGTTTAATCTTACATGGAAGCCATTCGCTTTTGGAAAACAATGAGAATAAATCTTTTAGCAAATAGTGCTAGCTGGAAGCTTTATTGCAACGATGCATGTTTTTCAGTAATGAGGCACTGAAGGATGAGTTGTGCTAAAATGAACAAGGGTCAGCTTGTCTGGATGAGCATAACTTTGGTTGATATTTTTCTTCCTTAAAAAAGGTTTTCAAAGCACCAGTTAATTACAAAAAAGCATGCATACTTATTCTCACAGTGAGTTAAGTGGCAAGAGAGCTAGTGAATCATACATTGCATTCCCCCAAAGCAACTGATTAGATTTCTAGAAAACAGAACTGGAAGAGAAGATAAAGCCAGAGTAGCCATTTTGCCCCAGCTGGGCGGGGCAGCGGCAGCGGCAGCGGCAGCTCTCAACAGAAGTCACCGGCGGGACAGCAGATTGCTGGGAAGTCAGGCCTACTTGACTTTCCAGCTGACTACAAGAGAGTTTAAGTAATCTCTCTCTTAGAGGATGAATAAAAGAGGCGCATAAAATGCTTGCCCAATAAGAAGCACCCAAGGGCATGCAAAAGCCCTCCGGTTACCCCAGCCGGCTGGGCTCTATCAAGGAGAAGCTTCTAGGCAGGTGAAGGCCCTCTGCCCCAGTGCGAGGCAGTGCTGCGCGGCTGGGCGGGGCGAGTCCCAGAGACCACCACAGCACGTGCTGTTGCCAGCCGCTGCGAGCGAGACATTCAGACCATGTCAACACTTGTCAGACCTTCCTCTCCCAGGACACAGAACATTCGTGAGATACTAGTAGTGTGAAAAACCCAAGCGTATGAAGGTACAAACATAATTCTCAGTACTTTCTATTAAAGACGATATGCAATATTTACCAGGGAAAAAATCCTTATTTCATAATAACATGGAGAGAAGGAATAATAAACAGTTAGAAAATGTTTTAATATCACATGATCTTTAAGAAATCACCCTCATGACTACAATTAACTAACAATTATGCTCCCTGTTCACAAAAAGGCACCTAACCATTAGGAACAATTTTTCATAATTATTAGCCACTGGGTGGCACTGGGGTTTAGACGTATAATTCATTACAATTTTTTTATAGAACCATGGTTTTTCCTCAAAGCTGAAAATTCCTAAGTGCCTCCACCCGGCCACCAGTCCGTGGGGCTGCCACACAGCCACAGGCTGGGGACTGCACAGCGCAGGCGCTGGCCAGCTGCCCGGACAGGGCACAGCACAGGCCCTGGCAGTGGGGCATGAGTGCCTGGCCAGCACCTGTAGCCAGAGCACTTCAGACCAGCGCAGCCTATTGGACGGCCCGGTCCACTCAGGGCAAGTGCCCTTCGGTTGGAGGCGCTCCAAGAACAGCCTGGGCCTGGTGGCAGGCACCTGGGGGCGGGAGGGGTGCAGACATAAAACAGGAGTTGCCCCTAAATACTTGCTGGTCATTTAAAACTCAATGGCACATATTTATAGAGCGAGAATTTCCAAGTTAGCTCTCTGGCCAAGGTGACCTTGCATTCTGCCAGCCAGATGTACTTCCTGCTGGTAGCTGCCCACGTCTCTACTCCTGCCCCACGCCAGCCAATGTTTCCTGTGCGCCGGCCTTGTTAAAACACTTTCGTAACCCGACAGCGGACGACAGCTCAGGGCTGTGTGGGACGACGCCACTCAGCCCAACATTTGTAAAGCACTGTGGCATGAACGACTTTGCTGTTATGAAATTAGTGATGACTGACAAGATAAAACTGGGGGGTAGGACGGGGGGAGAACAGTGTATGATGACTCAGTTCTTTTTAAAGGAAGTTTTAAACATTAATCAGGAAATACACTGATGAATTACTGACAGCATTTAGTACCCTACACAGGATTCAGTCCTATAAGACAACTACACTTTTGTTTCCATCACAGTAATTAGTCCTTTATGGTTGCATTTAAAATTTGAGTCTTTAATGAACTCCAAAATAATTTTTTGAAATTTCATTCTGTCATCTACTACTATGATTGCAAATGGCAGCCGAGGGGCCCCGAAGTGTTATCTGTAGGCTACCGTGTCATCAAAGAGCTGGGATGATCACAGATCCACAGAGGGGTGAAGGCACTTGTCTTCCAGGAGGTCACATCAGGTCAGCTTGTCTGACCCCAAGACGGCACCTTCATCTCTCAAGCCAGAGGCTGGCGCCTACGAGGGACTCATCCTGCCCTCACTTGCCTGCGGTGCCGGAGCTCCCTACAGCACCACGAAACTCAGAATATACTCCAGGAGCTTCTGCCGGTTGCACTGAGGTAGAAAAGTGCTGCTGAGTTCTAAAACAGACACTCTCTTTTGTTTGGTCTCTTTGAAAACCTACAGAGAAAGTTTAGATTAAATTATAAACAAAAAACAAGACATTTTTGTTGCCAACCCAACCTATGCCCAGACCCGCTGGAAAGAAGGACAGAGACCACATTCTGGCCTCTGTGAAGGGCATGTGGGTGTGCAGGCGTGGGTGGGGAGGCCCGTGAGGCAGGGAGGGTAAGCAGGTGTTTTTTGGGGTAGAGCTCAAACAGTGTTACACTTGAAACTCGATGTTGGAATAAAGCACAAATAGCCCCTTACAAAGGCCCCTACAATAGCTCACACAAACATTTACACTATAAAAACGGAAACTTACCCCAATGTCCTTAAACATTTTCACAGCATTCTTCACAAGACAATAGGTGGCACTCTCAGCTGTAAAGACAGAGTGAAACCCTGTCAAATATTTTTAGGTCCAGAAAAACCCCCAGCCCCACAGCCACTGAGTGAGGGAAGCGTGGGAGAAGGCTGGCTGAGTCTGCCGGCTGGGCTGAGCTCCCCTCCCGTGGCTGGTGGCCTGTGAGGGCACTAATGATGTGCTGTTTCTGTAAACCCATTTGTCATCTAATGAATAAAGGAAGAGCAAGAGAGAGGGACAAGAAGAAAGAGGTAAAAAAGGAGGGATGAAGAGGAGGGAAGACAAGATAAAGAGGCAGGGAACATTTGAAAATATCCACACACTGGCTCAGATGAGACACTGTGTAGACGATCTGGTCAACGGCACAGTGAGGTCCAGATGATTCCCACACAGATCCAGAGGTCGGGGGAGAAGAGTTCTAAACCCAGGGTTGCCCATTAACTAGCCACGTGACCTGGGGCAGCTTCCTCATCTACACAGTGAGTTGACGCCATCTCTAGGCACACATCCGGACAGGTGGGCTTAGGGAGGAGGAAAGATTTAGATAGATAGTTCTGGAACCCCTTCCAGTTCTAAAAATTACTGATTTGCAGTGGTTTCAGCTCCAAGCCTGAACTGTCTAAAATGCTACTTGTTACCCCACTCACCCCTGTACTACAGACAATATTCAGTGCTGCCTAGGGGTTCACTGAATCACACTGCTGGCAGTACCCAGTGCCCCTGCACACCACTTAGGAAGCATCTGGAAGCACCTGCTAGAGCCGACAGACCCATACCCTGTGCCATGCAGTTCTGGCCCCAATGTTAAAAGCTGCACAGGCTTGCCCAAAACACATTCAGCCAGCCCATGAAGGTGCTGTTCACAGTAGTTCTAAACATAAACGCCCAAATGAAAAAGCCAGACATTAAGAGTCAGTAACTACATCACTAACCTTATGGAAAATACCAAAACAGTAACAGCAGTAGCCTATGGATTAGAGGTCAGGATAATTATGCCTCCCCCCACCCTACTCGTCTACAATTAGCAGATCCCATGATCAAAGAATGTTACTTTGAAAATAAGCCAAAGCCATACGCACCATACACCGCAACGCTCCTTTCTGTTCTGGTTATCAGGTATTTGTGCAGCTTCTGCAGATACTCAGGCTCCGGAACGGGACCACTGAAGTTGTGCATGAAGATGGCAGCAGAGCTATAGGCCTCCAGCAACGGCCCAAGGAGCCTCTGCAGGAAGGTGATGAACTGCTGGTGTTCCTTGGACTGGCTCACCTGGAGGGCAAGAGTGGGAGCTGAAGCCTCGGCGAAGGCGAAGAGACAGAGAAAAGAAGCGGCCCTGGAGGACTGCCTCCCAGAGCCAAGCACGAGAAGACGGCCCCTCTCGTCACCACCATGGAGAAGCAGTACCCTGGGAACCACCACTACGCCGCAGACATATCCTCTATTGTTAGCGCTCACTTCCAAGGGAGAGCTGCCTGGAAATGGCCATACGTGAATGATGCGATGATGATGTCATTCCTGAGAATAGCTGAGCCTGAGGCTGGATCCCCAGGATTTGAGACCCAGGCTCCACAGTCACGTGAGCAAAAGGCCACACGGGACCACCAAGAGCATCTCAGTCCTTGCCAGTCCCCTCTGTCACTCCCTGGCTCACCCTGCAGCCCGCTGTGGCACAGGGGAAGGATGGCGCTAGTGGTGGGGTGCTCCATGGCAGGGGGCTCTCACTGCCCCACCTACAACACACACTTTCAATTAAGTCCCTGAAGAGCGTAGATCACTGTCCCACCTGAAACTGTGATACGGAGAAACTTCTCAACGTCACTTAGGATCTCCAGAAGCTGTGTGCTCCTGAGTCTGTGTGCACGTGTAAACTAAGAGCTTATCGCACTCCAAAAACAGTAATCCACTTAGGGGACTGGACAAAAGATGGATCATTATCACTAATTGTTAAAGCTACAAATTAGACAAAATTGATCTTCTCAATTAAGAACAGTTTATCTTTTAAAACCCCCAATTTTCTCCTGTGATAGGATTTAACTGAAGGCAAAGAGCTTGATCCATAAAATTTGAGGAGGGAGACCAAGACTGAGTGACTCAAAGAGCAACCAGAATAGTGAAGGCTTCACACCTGGGGATGGTTCTGCCTTGCTGGGGGCTGGTGGGACAAACACACTCCTCTTCAGGTGAGCAGGGGCACACCTGTGCACTTTGATGAGATGGGCACAAAAGTATTGTCCACGAGATCCCCTGGTGGGATTTTCACTCATTTCCTGTCCCATTCACCTCTACCCAAACTGGACACTTCAAGGTGGCAATTCAATTACAACAGAAAGTACCACAGCCAATTTGTGGGTACTTCTGATATAAGCCACCAGTCTCCATCTATAAGAATCTCATCAATTAGAGGCAACATAAACCTCAACCCATCACTGTAATGTCCACCAGAATTCTTCACCAAAGTACCTTCAGAAAGCAATCTCGCTGCTCCTCACCAAAATCACTGTCTTCATCTTCTTCATCACTTCTCCAAGATAGAGGTTCTGGAAGCTTCTTGTCCCACTGCTGTTCAGCAACGCCAGGACTGATATCTTCCTGTTCATCTTGCTGTGACAAGGAGATGACCAATAGTCAGCACGCACAGCCCAGCTGGACCCCAGGCCAAGCAACTCGCCCCCCCCACCCCCCCACAGAGTCTGCTGTGTTTGGCCTTTCCCACTGACTCTAGGAAGACAGTGAGAGAGGATAGAGCTCAAATAAAAATAATGTCACCACTTCGGAATTGATGTCTACTTTCCTAGGCCATATTCTCTATACCAAATATTCCAAAATTAAAATCTCAAAAAAGTGCACGTGCACAATCTGTAAGCACCCTGAACCCTGATTAGCAAACATCTCATTTTAGAATGCGAACCTCCAGATGTCATGGAATCAAGTCAAGATATGTTCCAGGCAACCTCTGTTGCAGAAAAGTAGCCAACATTTTAAACAATACCAGAAGACATTTATTCTCCCTTCTTTTCTCTTTTCTTCATCTGGACTTAACCATCAAATGCAATTACTGGTTAAAATTACTGGTACAACAGACAAGGAAGTGAAGAACAAGAATTTAAATAAAGGCAATAAAAGAAAACTACTTCTCTTACCTCAGCCACTGTGAGAATGCCATACTGGATAAACCTTCCTACAGCTTCATGGCAAACTTGGTAAAATGTCTGGCAGGGCTGAAAAAAAAGGCAACTAGATTTGAAAGGTTCTGTCCGTGACATCCTTTTTGAAAGGCAGAAAGCAGAACCCGAGGTAGCTGCTAGAACACCGACCACCCTCCACTGGGCAAGACCTGATGTTTCCAGGCCCTCTAAGCTTTTCCGTGAGACCGAAGCCTGCGAAGAGACTTCAAGTCACCACCCAACTCTGGTTTCCTTTTCAAGGGCGCTTCTGAGCTCAGCTCTCTCCCCAGAATGGGCTGCTTCTCTGCAAAAGCTCTCTTACAGCAACTGTATGCAGAAGTGGTAGGTGAGGGAACACGGTACTCAAATAACTCAAAAAAGTCCAGGGAAAGGACACAGGTTGATCTAGGAAGACTTATCCCATTCACCCTGCCCCCAAGATCCATGCAAAATAAACCCCAAAAGGGCCACCAGCATATCATACACAAAGAACATGGTGGAAGAGGGCTGTTTTCCTAACACATCTGCTCATAATGTCTCGGAAGAAAAAAATTAGACTTCAAATAAAATATGAGTCTATATGCTGATGATTTTGAGGAAAGACCTTTCTGCTGTTCTATGCATATATTACAGCATCATAAGCATCTGAAAATGATTAGAAATAATATAAATGCTCATGGTACTGCTAAGCTTTAGTTTCTCCACTTGCAAAGCTACAAGAGGCTGAGCAGACATTTTTTTTGACATTTTAATATTTTTTATTGAGTGGACATGGTTTTATTTTCTAGATACATTCTTAGTTGGACTATCATTATTTTACATCCTTGCCCACTTTTCTCAGTAAAGAATTTCTCCCCTCAGGTGTGGTCACCATAGTTCTCCCAACACCAAATCATTCATAATCCTCCAGCATAGTTCATTGTGTTCACCATCCCCCCCTTTTTCTCCTCTCTCTCTAGATATGTCAAATCTATGATCAACTTCCAAGGATTGGTGTTAAGGTCAGTCTTTGTCTCATTCTCTTTGTTTTCTCTATAACCCACACATAAGTGAAACCAGCCAGCAGACCATCTTTCAGACTGCTCCTGACTATGACTTGGGCTGACCACTCACAAGTGGGCACATTGGTCACATACACACGGGACCCTGCGCCTCAGGCTGAGGCACGTGCTCAGCTTCTTTGGCTCCTACTGCTGAGAACTCTGAGTCATCTGTCCTACCCCCCTCACAGCTGCAAGAAGGGTTCCTTGGGGCAGTGACCCCTGACAGCTACCAAGACAATGAATGACATCAGTTTGGGGGTCATGGAGTCAAGGTCAAAAGTAAGCTTCAATAATGGACCAAAAGTCCCCAGGAGGAAAGCAAAGGAGGTTTATGTTTTCACAGAAGAGCTCAGAAAAGGCAGGCAGGGGACACTAGAAGTCGCACTTACGAGAGACACGGTGCCTTCATGAGAGAGCAGGTAGCACAGACTGGCTGCTTTCCGCACCAGCTGCTCCTGGCTGATCAAGTTGGGGGACAGAGAAGCAGGCCCTCCTGGGCCCCTCTTGTTCTGAACTGCATAGAGGCTGCAGGCTGAGGGGAAAAAGCAGCAGTGAAGCCAGCAGCGCCAAGAAAACTTCAGCTAGCTCAAATAACCCAAGTGGCCGTGCCAGGTGAGAGTACTCCAAATGTAAAACCCAGTAACATGCTTTTACTGCAAAAATTTAAGTAAATCCCCTCAGCGTTTACTTTTTGTGATTCCCTATGATCCCAACATCATCCAGTGCCTTTCCTAGGAACTTCAGGCCCCTCTGCTTTCCCCCATGGTTTCCTTCATCCCAATGCACCCCTCCATGCATGTTACCGCTACGTGACTGTTTCATTTCACTTAGATTTTCAGCTCCGGGACAGCAAGACAATTTCTACCTTAACATACAGATAATATTATCATACAGAAACTCAGGAGCTACTTGTGGAATAAATGTAAAAGCAAGCTATGGCAATTTATATTTTCATTTGGAAAGCTAAAAATATAGCAACACATTCCCTCCAACAAACTGAAGCAGGCACCATTAAGTGGTTTAGATCCTCCATTTTCCATGAAAACACTTCAAGGTCTGACATACCTATGATGGCCTCCATGATAAAAACATGGAGCACCCCGTTGCTGTAGAAATTGAGCTCAAAGACTGACGGGACTGTTGTGCTGGGAGTGATGAAGAATTCGTCGTTCCTGCTGGTATGGGTGATGGTGACGCAGTTCCCCAGCAGCTGGATGGCGTGCATGACCACATCCTCGGAATTTCCTGAGAAGCCCAGGTCAAAGTCACGAGCCAGGACTTCCTCCTTCATCACAAAGAAGTCCTCTACCAATGTGGAAAGATCAATTCCCTAGAGAAGAGACAAATGCTCTCATGACAACAGAAAGCCTACTCCCCAAGAGGCTACAATGCCATCCCAAGGATTTCCCTCCTTGTCTTGGCGTCCTGCAGCTTGCGTTCAGCACAGGAGCAGGGTCAGCACGCCAGTGCAGGGCAAGTCACCAAACTGGCTAAAGAGCTGAGCCCCAGGAGGGGGACACAGTCCACATGCCAGAGAACATTCTAGTCACAACACATGGATATGAGCACAGAAGATCACAAAGGGAAGCAGCCATCTGAAAGTAAGAAGTGCTATTTTTTAGCAAGAATTGCTCTCATTTAAAATATTGATCTGACAAAAGTTTATTTCATACATATATACAATATATGTGTATAGACATGACGTCTGGGACTGAGAACAGGAGTGAATCACAGGTGGCCTCTCCCATCACTGCCCTTATAGCTTCTAAGCAGATGAATCAAGGATGCTACATCCAAATCAAATTGCTTGGAAACCGTGCAGAATACGTAGCACATATCAGCGAAATATGCCTCATTTCCATGAAATGTTTTACTCAAAGAACGTCTTATTACTTATATACTGCTTACTATGTGTGTGTGCATATATATTTATACATACATATGTCTACTGTCTTATTATATTATATCCAGTAAACAGCCTCTGAGTCTCCTGCATCAAGTTTGTAAGCTCCTGTGGGAAAGGTAATTAACTTCCTTTACCGTCTGTCTCGCTGCACAAGTCGAGAGAGGCATTTGAGTAAGTGTTGGAAGCAGCCAAAGTGCTCGCGCGCCTTCTGTGAGCGCAGGTGGCTCTGTGCGGAGACGTACCTGCCTGTGTCTGTAGAGGAGCAGGCAGGCCACGATGTGCGTCGACATGATGGCACAAGATTTGCTAGCAGCTGGAAGGCAAACACAAAGCTTTAGCTGCTCTCGCTCTCTAATACAGCCGAGACTTTCAAAGCAGCCAGTCTTACACAGAACTATTTAAAACTGTAAGGAGTCCTCTGCCACATTTTTCAGAACTTGCCTTTACTAAAAGGAAGTGGTAACGTTCCACAGTGTTCCTATTAGAGATCATTGTTGACTACATAACAGAATTCAGTTAGACAGGTCTGCCTTCAATTTAACAGATTTAGCGACTGAAAGACCAAGATCCCACGCGTGCATCTGGTCTAGGAATTCTGCGAGACATCCCATTTCTCAGTTTCTTGATTTGTTCCTGGCTCTACTTCATGCTTCGTGTGATCCTTCTCATATCAAAACAAAAATACAGGGTTGGTGATGAATTTGAAGTCAGCAAATCTGAGCTTCAATACTAATTCTACACTAATTTCATGACTTGGGGAAAATGACTTAACTCCTATGCATCTGCTTCCTCACTGGTGAAATGAAAATGCCACCTAATGCATTGGCTGCATAAAAATGACTTTCAACCAGCCTGGAGACAGGGAAGGAAGAGGCAGAAATACCTTTGAAAATGAGTACAGCCCACAACCCCACACCTAGAATTGAAGAAAATCATAACTACATAAACCAAATACAAGACTGTCCATAAAATAACCTGAAATATCTGAAATAAGGATACCATTTATGAGTGTTTGAGATGGCAATAAATTCATGAATAGTTTACTCGTAATTGATATTGTCTCCAGTATTCAAAACATATACTCGCCTCCTGCCCAACTATAACTATGCAGGTACCTCTCTTTCTTACTCCTTTTCCTAATAAGCCTATCCTTTAAAAACATAAAAAAAATAAAAATAAAAAGGAACTTTTACCATACTGACAGTCATTTAAAATATTTTTTACAAGCTTTAAAAACAATAATGAGTGCCTGTAAAAAAAAGTTACTAAACAGCAATATCCCTGGTTATTTGGGTATGGGGGGCTTTTGTTTTTATCCCCCAACTTTTGCACATTAAGGGTGTGTTATTTTAGCACCCAGATTTTTAGCAAGGAAGAAAAACAGTTAGATGTGCTCAAGGAAGACTACTCGCGTCCAACAAGCAGGGGCAGGAGCAGCTAGTGGAAGGAGCACAGCGAGCGACGAAACCCCTCTGCAGGGGTGCTAAGCCTCTGGCAGTATCGAGGTGCAAGGGCCATCAGGGGAGTTCACGTGGCTGAGAGCCCCCTGCCACGGGGTCCTAAGTAGCCCCTACGACATGCAACAAGGAACCTAATTCTGCATTCACCCTACTCCACCTTGGGTCACTTATTCTTGAATTATTTGTGTACAACTATCCCATGAGAAGAGTATTATAAGCTCTGAGTGCAGAAACATTCATTAGGCAACTTATATTTCCAAGAGATAAAGCAAAGATGTACACATAATAGCCACCCAATATTTGCCGGGCAAAAATAATCATGAGGTCAGAAGGAAAGGGACATACAATTATCAACCTAAATGTTGCATTATAAGTTAGTTCAAAGCATTAAATTCAATAGCAAAAGAAGCAACAAATCATTTTGACAATATTATTTTTTTAAGAAGTGCCAAGACCGGCCCTCCCTGGTGGCGCAGCGGGATAAAGCACTGCACTAAGAAGCTTAAGCCACTCCTGCATGAGTTCGATTCCCGCCTGCCTGGAGGAGATCCACATGGCGAGGCAGACCTCTCCTGACCCGCCCGCTGCTGCTCCCCTCAGCAGTGTGCTTCATTGATCTGCCTTTTCTGCTCCCCACTCTGTCTCTGGTGAAGCCTCTCACCCTCCGCATCTCTGGCCTGTACCCAGTTCTATATGAATAAATAAATAAATCTAAAAAAAAAAAAAAAAGTGCCAAGACCTACCAGATGTGCACTTGGGAATTCTAAGGCACTGTGCAAGCTATTATATTCAGTTATCTCAGGTCAACACAGTCTCGCGTCATTCCAAGTAACCTACCTGTCTCCATCTGTGTAGTAGATACTAAACCCCAACCTCAGCAGACTCCAAAGCCTGCATGACTTGCACGGTGCCACACCAAAGCTTCAGTGCAGAAGTGGGGCATTTGGTGTTTCACTTACTGAAGAGAATGTGCTCAGCCAGATTTGCAATCAGTCTTCTCCGGAAGGACTCATCAGCTGCATTTCTGGGCTCATTAACTGATGGGTCTGTTTCTTCAGCAGCAGCAGCATCATTGGGTCTAAAGAGTTGTTTTCTAATTAGCTTTGTACAAGCCCAGCTTTTTATAATGTAAACCACATGGGACCAAAGGTATAAATAAATTGCAACCTTAAAATGATTACATATTCTTTCTAACTTTAAACCACAAATAGGTTATTTCTATAGGTTGATGTCCTCCATAATACTTTTTATTATGTTTAACACATTCTCATGGCCAACACACTTGACTAGACAGTGTTGGTACCACTTCCAATAGTCACTGACAGAGGATTGCATAAAACAAATGCCTCATTTTAAACAATTCCCTAAAAGCTGACACTTGAAGGGTTTTTAATATTACAATTTTTTAAAGTAAAATTGTATTTGATTCTGGAAAATTCTTATACACTCCATTTACATACAATTAAGAATAATGTAAGCTACTACAAAAAGCATTCAAAAGCATAAATCAAAGGACCCCTACATGATTCACAAAAATCAGTAAGACTGTACTATGCAAATAATCAAAAACCTCTACACTAACATGAAAATATGTCATATTAATATCCTTTACCAGACTAAGAAAGATTATTCAAGTGAGAATGTGAAAACATGTGTGCTTTTCTACGTATCAGGATAAATAACCGATACTGAAAAACTGACCTTGAAGGAAGGATAGCTGGTAGTAATGCTTGTTCCAGAGACAGTGGAGCAGACACAGGCTTCTGACTTTGGCTTTCTAAATATTCCTGAAAAACGAACAAACAAGCCAATCAGTCCCACTTTTATAAACATATATATATAATATAATTTGACCTAACAAAAGTGAAAGGGAGTTGTTTATAAAATGTGTAGTGTTCAGAGGATGAAAAATAATTTCTAGATCTCAAGCTATCTGCAGAAGTCCAGAATCACTCAATGAATATTGTTTAGCATTAAATCTAAGAAGTGAATATGCAAAGAACAGGATGATGCTTGTACAAGTCATTCAAAAATTAGGGGGGAAAATTTTAATTTTTCCCATATTCAGGAAGTTATCCAACACTCCCTATGTTCTTAACAAGTGCTAATCGACACAATCACACTTTAAAAATAATAATAATATTCAAAAGAACTTCAATCTAAAAATAAACCCTGACAAGGCAAATAAACTGCAACAGGTTTAAACATTTTTTAAAATGGGGGAACATTAAGAAAGTGTAAGATCCTAAAAAATGAAAGCATTTAAGGCCAGAAAGCATTTAGCAGAGCTGCTAGAAACTTTTAAAATAAAACCAAGAAGCAGGACAGTGGACACAGAACCTCTGTTCATTAGCCGCAGGATCCCAACTCCTTACCCCTTTCTCTTTCTCCTTTGACAGCTCAAAAATCTTAGAAAATTAACATTATCAAGACCTCAAGCACAGCGCTTCAGCTCCTCTGAGAATGGCCTGCTCCCTGAGAATATCTGGGATCACATTCCACCCAGTAGGAAAGACTGCCATCCTAGGCTTTAGGAAGCAGATCTAAGACTTTCCTAACATTTTTAGACATAGTATACCAATATAAAGCAATATGAAAAATTCTCATGAATTAAAAAAGCAACAAATGTTGACACAGAATTCTCCCCAAAGACAGACGTTTGCTGTCCTTTGTCAAAAGACATACTTTGGTGAAAAACTTGGGAAATAACATACTCGTCATAACCTTCACTTTACAACAGAGGAAACTGAAGCCCCCAGTGACACAGAGAACAGGCAGAGGGTCAGTGCAGCAGCCCCGCCCCCACCTGAGCTGGGCCCACGGCTTCACACTCACCTTTAAGGAAAAAGGTTGTGCAAAATCCACTCTGACACACCCATAGTTTTTCCGTAACATCCTGACCACACCTCTAGCTACGCTCCAGAGGCTCTCATTCTTCTTGGGTTTTCCCTAAATTCCAATTTGAAAGAACATGATAAGAAGTAAAGCTAGTACATCTGCACACATTCTCTTATCCAAAGAATAAAACTGGTTAATTGTTTAAACGGAAACTGGAAGTTCTTCCTGGAAAATGCAACAAAGAATGAAGGAAAATAAGTATCCCTGACTGAGACCTGTCAAGATATGTTTAGCATTCAAAGATGCTAAAAAAGGTAATGGCATCATGAGGAAAGGTAATTTGGTCAAGACAAAAGAAAACACTTATCATTAATTCATTTAGTATGCTACATACTCCACAAGAATCAAATACAAACTAGTAGAGGAGAAGAATGACGACAACAGCCTAGGAAACGGTTCAGCATTTCTGAGATTAAAAAAAAAAAGATGTCAAAGCAATCGCTTATCCGGGTCTGATGAACACCAGAGTCCTAATACCTCACGCCAGAGGACTGAGCGCCAAAGTGAGCCCCCCATGGACTCACGGCTGGTCTTTCATTTAGAAGCATTTACTGAACAGCTAAGACTTGCAAGTCACAATGATGGCCACGTAATGGGCACCGGACTCAGAGCGGCTGAGCCACAGCCAGGGTGAGAGGCAGCTGCAGCTGCGTGGGGGGTCTCGTAATGAAGGCACAGCATGTAATTTAGTCCCCGACTGTCACATGATTTGTTTTCGGCATAGTAAGCCTGAAAGAAGTACCCTGACCAGAACTCCCACATTAAATAAGAGCAAGACGAATTCCTCCGAACTCACGCACTGCTGGTAAGGAGTGGAAAGCTCCTGAAAATCACTTTGGAAAACTCTTTGGCAGTATCTACAAGCTAAACATAGACGGACTTTGACCCACCAATTTCACTTCTAGGCACATACCCAACAAAATGCATACATATCACCATCAAATAGTCCATGGTGAAGGCATTCGTATCTCAAAATCACTTATCCTAACAACCAAAGAAGTCTTCTCCACAAGCGTCTTCTTACCAGCTGTTCGCCATTGTAGTGACCTTCAATGATGCGATCATAGGAGATTCCAACAGGTATTATCAAGATGTCTGGGATGGTATTGGTAGACAGAGTATCCACCACCACGGACAAAAGTCCTGCCCGAGCACAAGAGATCTTTCCACTTCTAGAGCGTGTTCCTTCCAGGAAAATCTCCAAGAACTGCTGCTGCCGAAGTAGTTCAACTATATGCTGTGATAAAAGGAGAAATGAAGACATGCACTCAATAGCACGCAACCTAGTATAAGCTCAGAAAATTAACTATCAAAAAGAAAAAACAGCCTTCTAACTTCACTGTTGACAGCTCCTTCAATATTACATTTTGGTGATAATAAAAATTAATCAAACCATACCCAAACAATAATCACTCAAATAATTAATTAGACAACAGTTTTTTTAAAAATCTGTCTTGTCTCTTTCTCCTCCCACAGTGACAACTTCCCACATCAGCCTTAAGGAAGATTGGAGTCACACATACCCCGTGGAGCAAAGCTCTGTAGAGAATATCTTTCCTTCCATCCGGTGTTTCATCTAGCCTCCGTCGTATGAAAAAGCCCCCGAGGTTATGGATCAGCGTACTATCAATTCAAGAATACATTAATTAGTTAATTTTTTTAATGCAAAAAGAATAAATTCCATGTTAATTTTTAAAAAATGTAAAAAGAATAAATTCAAATCATCTACCATCTAGATCTAAACCACATGTATTGTCTGAGTTGCTGACACTATGAACATTTTCCACAATCCACATATTGACACATTTCAGTCATTTAGATTATTTATCAGTTTTAGATCATTGTGCATGATGAAGCACAGTTAGATCTGTTCCAAACCCAAAGGAGTTTACCTACTCCCTGCAAAAGTAATGGCACATATTTTAAGAGGATGATGAAATACTGCTAAATTTTAAAATCCTCCTCTGGATCTCAAGACACTGACTGTTAGACATCCTAAAACTTGCCTCTGGCATATTTACTACAAAATGAATGTGATGCTCCTTTGGAGATATGTTGTCAAATAAGTACTGCTTAGAGGGTGTTTCTGTGAAATAAAGATATTTTTTATCACTGAAACCAAGTATACCCATCTCTCTAAAACAAGAAACAAAAATTTCTCCACATTTACATACATAGAAACAAAGCAATTCTTTTCATTATGCCATGCCTCGTTCTACAAAACAGATGAAATTTAATTTAACCTTTCCAAACTCAGAGCTTCCACCTACTCTTTTGAATAGTGAGAGTAAGTATAATCACATATTTTAGAATCTTTTATTGTCCAAATAAGAGCCACTGGGCCCTCCCTGGTGGCACAACAGGTAACAGAATGCAGCACTGCCAGCTGGCCACAGCCATTTCAGTGTGAGTTTGATCCCCGCCCCGGAGGTGACCCACATGGCGCGGCAGACTCTTGTCTCGCCCGCTGGTCTCCTCAGCAGCGTACTTCATCGATCTGCCTGTTCTACTCCCCACTCTGTCTCTGGGGAATCCCCTCACCATGCACCTCTGGCTTGTACCCCAGTTCTGTATGCATAAATAAATCTTAAAAAAAATAATAGTAATAAGTGCTATGATATCTATCTTACTCTATCACTCCTTGAGAGTAAAACCTACTACTATGAAAAGCACTTCTGCATTTTTATTTTTATTTTAGCTTTTATTATCCCTTACCGGAACTATGTCAATAAAGTCAAAATTAATCTACTCCATCTAACTCAAATGACTTTTCAAAATGCAATCTTGAACAGGGCATTTCTCAAGTATGGGATACACTCCAAACCCTTGGCTTACAAACTGTTTCGATGCAGCTCTCACTACCTACATCCAGGTAGTCACCACCTCCTGCCTCTGACCCTTCCGAGACACCCTGTATGCTAACCTATGTAGTCATCCCCACTTCCTGAGCACACCAAGCCTTTCAGTCTGGTTTTCACATACTGTCTCGTCTGGGCGGAAGCACTGCAACCTCCTGAAACTTTTCAAATACTGGAATTATCACTTGTTTCTAACTCTACTAAACCAAGAGTCAAAGTAACAGGTGTGGTTCTTCTTACTTACCCTTACATATCATCACAGTCGCTCTATTTCCCCACCTCCACCCTATCCCCACCTTCCTACTGCCAGGCAGGATACAATCATTTGTTATCTTGTCTTTCTAAGTGTTTTTTACAATTAAATATCACCCACTAAGGCTTAGGTAGTCACAGCTCTCCAAGAATTACCCATAAGACACAGAAATAGTCTTAATGCTTTCTTGTACTTTCCATATTTTCCACACTAACCACACGTTACTTTTATAATAAAAGAGCTATCAGAAAAATCCAGACAGTTAGGGCCTCTCAAAATATTATAGAACAAAGATTTTTATCATCTTTACAATCACATGTGCCAAAAGCTATAAAAGAAAATTCCAAATATAATCTTTTTCATACCTTATGGTTCAAAATGGGCTTATCTTACCTGAAGATGGGGATGTTGAGATTATTGCCTGAAGCAATGTATGGGGCTTTAATGTTATGGCAGAAGAGGATGAAAGTGAGCAGCAGATAGTCAATATGAGATCTATGAACTGGCAGAAATATAAGTGGCAAATTCGTCTAGTAAAGAGAAAAATGCCAAATTCAAAATTCAAATGCAAAAACACTGGCTTATTAGTGATTCATTCTTTAAAAACATTCTCCAATATTCTGAACTTCTTTCAATTTAATGCTAATCGCTAAAAACTACAAGGACCCAGGAAAAAGAAGAGCACCGAGGAGTATAACACGGTTCTCTATAGGCTGAGAGGCAGCCACAACCACTCCAAAGGAGCACAGGTCTGAGTCAAGCTGGATTTGGCTGGAAATCCTGGGCAAGTCAGTCAGCTGTGACTGGGACACATAATCTGTGCTTTATTTCCTCACTTATGCAATAGAGATTATTCTACCTGGCTTTCGAATTGTTAGCAGTTCCTAAGAAAAGGAATCCTGCACACTGCCCCTCGCCCCCACCTGCTTCTCCTAAATACTTGTCTCTGTGGTGATCTCAGATGGGGCATCTTCAAATTGGTGTGGCATGCAAAACAGCACACAGGGGCCATTTCCAAAGAACTCAATCGCCTCTATAAACTGAATGACAGATTCATGGAATTCTTGCCTCAGTTGCAGCTTTCACCATCTCAAGTTGACCCTTGTGAATCTGAATGTTCCAAAAGAAGCTGTTGAACAATTTTAGCAGTACCCATCCAGTCAGTCTGAAAGTTCAAAAAAAAAAAAAAAAGGAATGTATACACATATACAACTATAAAGTTGACTTTCTCTACTTAAGTTTCTAAATCTACATTCTAAGAGTGTTATAGGTAACTGTGTGTGTGTGTGTGCATCTGAACTGTGGCATTAAAGAGAAGGACTCATAATCTAATAGCACACTTTACACTTCAGAAGCAAATACCAATGGGATACTTGAGCAGAGGATTTTAAGGTGAGCAGTATGACATGAAACCGCTCCTTGAACTTGTGGTCTGTGCAGCCTGCCTCACAGAGCACAAGAAGGCAGACAGGGAGCACTGCAATGGCTCCAATCAGCCAAGAGGCCAAGGCACCTCAGAGCCTTCCACAGCCCTATTTCCCGCGAAGGTGGACATAAGAATGAGGAGCCAGTAAGATAAGAGGGTCTTCAAGCATCTTTTGGACCAAGAGGCTTGAGCTAGGAGATCACAGGCCAATGGCTGAATCCTGTTTGCTCACAACAAGATGGCTCTTACTGGAAGCTTTTTACCTTGTCTTTTAATACCTGATCATTGCCGGTGAGACGGTAGCAACCATTTCTTGAAGGATCTTTTTGGCTTTCTTCTTCACTTTAGTGATGGCTTTTGCTTGCTGCTGAGCAGAACCATCAGTGTTTAATTCAGCAGCTACTTCTGCAATTGCCTCTTGTACTCTGATTTGAAAGTGGAAAGACAGATAATGTAACTAGTTCTAGACTACATTCTATTTTCATATTTTAAACCACACTAAAAAAATCATAAAATAAAATGTATCTTCTCTTTAACATGAGAAAATAAACTCAATTTAGAAGTATATCTATTAACTACTAAGGAAGCTATATTCCTACACTAATGAATCCTTGAAGAATCTTAGCAATAGATTATAGAAACAAATTCAGATGCACCCAGTGAAAACCATTTACAAGTGAATTTGCCACTGTTAAAAGGGATACAAAGTTGCACCTTAGAAGAAAAGTGAAAAGGGAAATCACCCAGTGAATATGTAATTCAGAGGTATCAAAAACCTTCTGCCAAAAAAATGAGGGCTTTTTTTCCCCCTGAAGACCTAATCTATAATATCTATATTGCAATACTATTTATAGAACTGCAGGTAAAATTCTCCAGGAGGAATCAGAGGAGAATATAATATTTAGAAGAGTTTTCAAAATCAAAGCAGTAATTTAAAACACAAGCACAGCACAGAACAATAAGCAGCACTGTCAAAGGGAAAGTTAATCCAGTTTTATAAACCTTCCATGTGATTTAGGGGAGAATTCATCTTTTCAAGTGCCCTAAATCACTTTTAACCTAGTTACTAGGCAGCATATCTAGATGATATGAAGCAAACTGACAGTTTTTACCTAGAAGGTAGAATATGTAACAATGCCAGGGAGCTTCAAATAAGACCAATCTTCACCCCAGCTCCCATACTCTACAGCACAAACATCACAATGACTTCTTCCCCACTTCGTCTGCTTCCACACAGTCTCTTCCATTTGCAAGCAAGCTCCTCTAGGAGCAAGGACGTGATCCTATTCTCCTGAAATTTCTAGCAATGACTTTCTAGTATGAGAAATTGTGCTTTTTACAGAAATATCAAACTAACTTCTCTCTTGGCTACACAATAGAAAATGGAATGTCATCATTCAGATTACAGAAAATTTAACAGAATTCTGGAAATATGTGCATCTCTGAACTCCAATTTGCCTTTGATGTATTGGAAACCCAACCAGCTGTTTAATTCAAAAACAAGACTGCTATTCCCACATGGTGCTGCTCACCAAAACCATCTGTTCTGCTGCCTTTCCTTGGCTTCCTTTGGAACTTAACATTAAGTGTCTAGAAACACAAACATCCTTGAGACAGCGTCCAGAGGAAATGAAGGCTAATACATCCCACACCCACTCCTCACTACTGCATCTCCCGTCCACATTCTTACCTACTGCTGTTCAGGACATTCTCTGCCACGTTAGTGGCAAACATGCCTTTATGGACGTCTCTCTCTTGAACAAAAAGCACATAAGAAAGGCGCCTTGCAAGCCATCCTCGGTGCCTGCAGAGTGAAAATGAGTTAGTGGAGAACTACTCTGGGAACACCTACAGTAAGCCACTTAAATTCTACAGAGGTAGAAAACAGTCTTGTTTCATCTAATCCTGGTTTAGGTTTCTACTATAGGAAATTCTTCTTAAATGGTTCAGGATGAGACAATTTTATTCCTAATATCTTTCATGTGAAGGGTTATTTTTTTTAATTATACTAATACTTCTAGTATATTTACTGAAAAATACTCATTAGTACTAATACTTCGGACTTACAAATTGAATTGACAAGAATAATCAATTGAGAAGTCAAGAATAGCTGGACAAAGATCTGAATATTTGTAATCTGGGCTCACGAAGCCATCAGTTGTGACTTATACTTTTTAAATATTCAACATACCAAAGGAATAAGAATATTCCCATGGATGTCAAAGACTGTGTTGTTTGGATGGGGGATAGAGGACAGAGATCTCAGAATAAGAATGCTACAAACCTTCTTTATGCAATGATTTGAAATAAAAATCAATTTGTAATGGTTAACATAATGCCTCAATATCACTTCCTCCACGATGATATTCATATAGACAGCAGAAGATTTCAAATAAAAATTCATTAATTCTGAAAATATCCAAAAAGTCCTTGATTGAGGAAAAGTAACATGAAGGAGAACTATCTATGAATCATTTGTTCCTTGTCTCTCCTTCCTGACCTCCTATCTTCTTCTTCCTTTCCTTTATGTCAATGCTCTGAAAACTTGGCTCAATGAGCCAAGTGTTTTTTCCTAAAAGCTTTAGTGAACATTTTCAGGATTACTATGTGATGTACAAAGTTCAAGACCTCTCTGAAATCCCTTTCAAATTGCATATGTGTATAAATATGTTTAGACATTGCTTCATATAACCTACAGAAGAGCTCAATAGCCAAGTCAACCACACAGGCAGCTTATTACACTAAAAATGTTCACACTGCCTAGTCAGGTCTAGCGCATGCTTTTCTCTCCTTAACTGCATTCAGTTGAAAGCAGCAAACCTTGTGCCTTTATATGTAAAATGTCTAGCTACAAAAGGAAGAAGAAACTATCAGATTCCTTCTTCAAGATCTCAATTATGTCAAAAAAGGGAGGGGGGAACTTCAGTAAATCAGAACGCTTCCTTTCTCACTGAAATTTAGGGGAGCATAAGAAAAAGAAGGGTAGCAGTGGAATGAGGGAAAACTATGTCCCTTAACTTTATAATTTGATAAAAGTTAAAAATCTTAACTAATTTCAAGTATTTCTCATGACTTGAGCCTACTGCTCACCATCTCCAGGCATCTACTCTCACAATTACAAGGCTGGTAGCATTTCTGGCTGCCATTTCTCTTACCTCAAGCCTCACACACAGCTGCCCTACCCTCCCCCTTACCCCCTAGCCTAGATTCACATAAAACAAAGCCTCTTTTTCTCACTCTGGTGTGTGACAGTCTGTACTCACATACCTAAACTTTGGAAGTCAAAAAATAAATCAAGAAACATTTGCTCAAAAGAGAAAATTACCTTTTAAAATGCCACAGATTTCAATTGGCTATACTTCTTTGTAAGTGTAAAATAATCATAGTATATCAGAAGACATTCAAACCTACATCTCCCCTTAACCAAAGCTTTTTCATTTTAGCACATTTCACATGCAAAACCAATAAATAATTAAGGTAGAAAAAGCGGGAATTGATAACTATGAAAATATAATATTACAGCAAGGATAATAGTAATAGGACTCTGAAGTGATTATAGTGCTTTAAATTTTTAGATAAAGCTTATGTCAGAAATTCATAGACTGTTAACTATGAAAAACAGAGATTCTGAAGGTATGTTAATTGATTATTATGGAGGTTCTTTTCCCAAGGTTTATTAGAAATATATTATTAGAAGTATAAAAATTTATTTTTACCTTGTGTGAGTTTCATTGATATAAATAACATTCCGCAAACCCAAAGATGGGATACTGGGGTTGAAAAACTTATCCTGGATAAAACAAAACAAACATTGACATAAATATAGAACTGGACTGGTCTTTGATGACTTTCCTAATTCAAACATAAAACGAGGCATTGCTTCAAGAACCCAAATGGTAATGAAAAATTCTACTTTATTAAAAAGTACTTTTTAGCCTTCAAAAAGTCACAAGCTAAAAATTAGCCTTTAACACCTAACAAAGGAAACAGCACCTCCCCCTTTACTACCAAATTCCCTCCCCCAACTCAAAAGGGTTGAAGCTAAAAATAGGTGAAGTCACTGACAGGAGCATTCTCCTGAAGATTTCAGAGTTCCCCTTGGCACACAAAAATATTGTGCTAAGCACCATGTAGCTACTGTTAGGTTACTAATTATCAAAAAAACCCTAACACCAAAAAGGTCATTATACCATTGTATAGATAGGGAAAGTAAGCAGGCAGAGTTTAGGGTTCAAGCCGAGATCTTTCCCCAGAGTTCAGTCACTCTATTCCCCTAAGATAACTTAATGAAAAAATGTATGGCATTAAGTCACCTTTTGACATTTCTCTTGAAAGATAATCAAGAAATTTAAGAAGAATTTATACTTTTACCAATATGGCCAAAAAGTAATCTTTCCACAAATAGATGCTAAGAAAACATAATGTACACCCAACAAAAGATATAAAATAATTGAGTGAAATCTCTTTAGAGAAAAGTAATATAGGATTTTAGAAACAGGGTAACAAATATAAATATTACTATAAAATATTATTTTAAAAAATAACATAACATAATAATAAATACTATTTTAAAAAATACATGGGAGAATTTGAATATCAAGTTCAATTTATCAGCATATTTAGGCAAAAATAAATTTCTTTTATACTATTCACCTATCTCCACTCCAAATCAACAAGACCACCAAATAATTTGTCAAGAATCCTCTCCTGATTTATAAATACATCAGAGTTAAGATATTTTTTTGGTCTTTGAAGAATCCAAAATTAGAATTAGATAAGATGCCAGGTCTAAAAAGAAAACCCACATGATAATCTATTTAGATCTTTGTTTCTACTGACATGTTGAACTGGCCATACTCCTACTCTATAAGTTTCCATGATCCTTCAATCCTCACAAATTCTTGCAACAAGGCACTCATGAGTAAAAGGAATAATATTTGTTTCAAAACATTCTCGAGAAGACCCAAATATTTAACATATACTGCTTGGATCCCACACAAGTCTCTCCCACATTGGTAAATCCCTTAATATCAGACTCAGAAATCTACTTTCTGCCAAGCCAACCCGGACTAGAACAGCACAGTTAGCTATTAACACAGGTTACAAAAGCCTTTATCAATGACAGGCAATTAAATGGCAGTTTCTATGTCCTAATAATTGGTCCCGTCCAAAGAAAGCTTAACATCCAGGCATAACTCTTAAGAAGTAACTCCACTGCCTTAGAGCACAACCACATCAGATGCTCCATGCCTGTTCTACCTCATTCCTCTGGCAAGCTGCCACGAGAACACGCCTTTCATCCCACAGCTCTCCTCAAAACTACACTACAATATGGAAGACTCTGCATGACTTGTGTTTTTTCACCAATACATACAACAAACCCACATAAACTTTTCCTTAAATATTCATTCTAACATTGTATAAAACATTCATCCTAACATTGTATTGGCCATGCTTGACTATCACAGAATCAAAAGACAACTGCCGCCAAAAGCGACCTTGGTGAAAGGAGAGTAGGGTTAACACCACAGCTTTAACTTCTTATTCTCTCCCATTATCTCTGGCTCATCTTGTGAAGATGTTACCAATTAGTCCAAAAGTTCAATATCTAAATGTTCCAGGAAGATTCCCACTAACTTTTAAAGAATAAATGGAAAATCAGCTCTGCTATCTCCCTAAACCATACTAAAACTAAAAAGGATCCCAGATATCTGGTATCAAACATTGGGCCAATATTTCCTAACTCAATGATAGAAGAAAATCTCAGCAACATCTTTACTTGGAATACCTGGTTTATAAGCATGAGCCTAACTTCTAAAAATGAATTAATTATACAAAAACAAATTCACATGAAGTTCAAAAGCTTCATATGGCACACATTTCATTCATTTATTGAAGTCAATAAGCAAGACCAATCTTACCCAGCTCTGAGGAGTACAGGAATAACAACATCTTCCAACAAATGGTCTCTTCCGGCTCATTAGGCCTTCTTTCCACTTTAAGGTTGCAGACCTGAAGACAGTAGGTCTAAAGCCACACTCACCCTAAGAAATAGTAAATAAGAGAATTATATAAATGGCAAGAGAATTGTATTTGTCCACCTGATAAGTATAATTCAGATATTTCAAGTAGAAGAGAAGCTTATGACATATTTTTTCTGAGATCATAATAAATTTCTCAAAGGTATTTTCATTCAGTCTATTCCCTCCATGATCAACTCTTGGAATAAAGCTTAGAACATAAGCAAATGTTGAACACCTAAGAATGGAAATAGCTGGCAACAACTGCTGAAAATGCAAAGGATCATTCAAATGTTTAGAAACAAAGTTATAAAAGGTCAAACTGCCTCCTGACAGGAGCAGAATGAATAAGATCCAATTTCTGGACCCCAATGTAACAGTTAATCTTAGTGCACCTTGCACCACTCACTCCAGCAATAACAACAAAGATTTTACATCGAGTAAACAATGTAACTTGAAATATTTTACTTTAAATGAAAAAAATAAATAAACTTATATTTCTTCTCTTAAAGAGAAAGTTTAAATACTGGAATTTCAATTATAGCTATGTTCTCCAATTAAGATCAGTCTCTGGTCTTCTGCTCTTAACATTTTCTCTAACTTTAAGTTCAGCAGTTGTTCAAATCACACAGACATAACATTCCCAAAATTACCCCCAAAAAACTTTTTCCCCGATCATTTTTTATAAAGCAAACAGTATTCAGAAAAATTTAAAACATGCCATATTATACAGAGAAAACATTACAAGAAAATACATGTCCTTTGGGTTGATAGTCACACTAAAATTTATTTTCTATTTTTAATTTTTAAATCTGATGTCCGTTAAAAAAATTCAAATGTATTAAGTGCATATATAAAAAATATAGAAAAAAAAGCAAACCATTTTATAAGTGCCTGGCTCAAACAACTGCTAGATATTTTTCCATACAAAAGTGTTTTTTTTTAAGTGGTTTGTTTTTTGGTTTTTTTTATACAGAAGTGGGGTATAGGCCAGAGATGCGGAGGGTGAGAGGATTCACCAGAGACAGAGTAGGGAGCAGAACAGGCAGATCAGAGTACACTGCTGAGGGGAGCAACGGGCGGGTCAGGAGAGGTCTGCCTCGCCATGATCTTCTACGGGGCAGGCGGGAATTGAACTCATGCGGAAGTGGCTTAAGCTTCTTAGTGCAGTGCTTTAATGTTTGTTTTTTAACAGGCATTGTGCTTAAACTTTTTATCCTGTTTTTTCTTTCCAATTAACATAATATAAAAACGTCTAAATATTACACTTATAATCTAATAGCTAGAGGCAGTTTCTGTAACTACTAACCTCTATTAGATATTATGTTGTTTCCAGAATTTCCACCTTCATCAACAACACTGAAATGAACATCTTTAGGTGAGTGCTGTAAACCAAATCATGAACTTACCCATTCTTCGCTTGCATGCTTACATCGACCAACACTGTATTCTGATGAATTTGGCAGGTAAGAAACATCTAGTGTACCAAGGGTCAGTGCAGATTCATCCATGTCACAAATTTTAACTCCCAAATCATGTGCTATAAAATACATACACCATGTAAGTTAATGAGGCACTTAACATTCTGACCTGTACATTATTTTGTTCTAATATAGGACAACTATTGAAAGACTTCTACCAGGTTTAGTCAAAGTAAAAATTGAACTTATATATACAAGCGTGGTTAAGCTGTCCTGATTATTTTTAAAATCAACATTTATATCTTCAGACTTCCTGAATAAAACATTTATGAATTTAAGAATTGTAAACAATTCTTTCAAATGACAAAAAAAAATTATTTCATCTGTATTAATAAGAATAGTCCCTGGAAGTACCAAGTTATGTTTATTTAATTAAATATAAGTTACAGGAAAACACACAGGTAATTTTTAAGAGTTATATGCTGAGAATTTCTGGTCACATTATGCAGTATAAAATGGGTAAAGACAATCAGGGTTTCTCAGGAATTACCCACCAAAACTGAATTAAGCTCCTGCTTTTCTTTTGAACTTAAGTAAAATATTTGCACTTCTGGACGTCTAAAAAACTCTAAAACAAAAGCACAGTCTTGAAATTTTTGATTTATAAGTTTCATCCTTCTCAATATGATTTTCCTACCCTCAGAGAAAATGTTCCTTAACAGTGAACTACTTATGAAAATAAAGATGTTCACCTAAAATAGAAAACTTTACGACATCTCAAATTATTTTAGCTTTTGGCTATTTCTCGCCTGGCCTTAAATTATTCCTTTAAAACCTTGGCAGGTCAAGTCCAGGTTAACAGTACTCCTCAGAGGGCATATTCACTCGCATGCTCTCGCTCTCTCTCTCTTACAATCCCCACATGAGTTCACTGCCATAACTGTTATTCTCCACATAATTATCTGTCCTTAATTTAATGTATCAATCTAACATAATGGGCGAGGGAAGAAAATAGTAAAGCATGAAAGCTTTCTGTATTATAAAACTCAACTACATTCAGGTGCAGAACGTAGCTACAACAGGGGGAGCCCTTTGCCTCCTGAAAAAAGAGGCGACTGGCCCCACTAATACCAGGAGGAGGGGCGAAAGAAAAGTCTTGTGCCAATAGAAAGTCCACATTCAGTTCTCCCTCCCCAAAGCGTTTATTCAAGGTCAGGAGAAGAAAAAAAAAAAAAAGATTCTCAGAGGCTTGGGTCTATCCCCGAAGCGTGGCAGCGGTGAGTCCTGAAATGGACAGGTGCGGGAGGGCCGAGTCTGAAGCCAACATAGCCGAGTTCAAATGCCCCACTGCTTACCACCTGTGTGACTTTGGGCAAGTTGGTTAACTTCTATGCCTTGGTTTCCCCATCTGGAAAATGGGCACAATATGATAGATCTTACTTGAGTTGCTGGGAGGACTGGATACTACATGTAAAGCGCAGTGTCTGGCGCACGATGAGCGCTCAGGCCAATGCCCCGACCACTGGATGGAGTTCAGAGCCGGGTGCTCTCTGAGCCATCCTGCTGCCTACACGCCGAAGTCAATGCCCCCATGTCCCTTTACAAGCGCAGGGTACGGAGTCCCCAGGGATTTCTCTCCTCTCCAGAACCCCTGCTGCAGCCTGGTCGCCCCGGTTAAAAAAAAAAAACCCAACCCCACTACGCCGCACCCGCAATGCCTCTTAGGGGGACCCCTGGGGCTCAGAGGACGGCACAGGGGGGACATGACCACCCAGGCAACTTGCAGGTGTCGTTCCGGTTAGGCAGAGAGAGCTACGACGCACCTGTCCCGGCGCTCCAGGGCTGCGAGAGCAGCCTCCACCAGCCCGAAGCCCACTCCCGCCCCGGCGCGCGCCCCGCAGTTCCGCGCTCCAGCTGCTGCAGCTGCCAGCACTTCAAGCCTCCGCCGGAGCCTGCTGCAGTGTCGCACAAAGGTGACGCCACTACGGGCGCCCCGAGAATGACAAGCAGCGCCAGTTGCTACTCCGGGTGGGGGCGGGGCCAGGCGGGGGCGGGGCCAAGCAGAAAAGCTGTGTGACCAAGTGTAGCCTTCGAGTGGCTAAGACTGGTTATGCGGCCTGGCAGAGTCACGTGAGCGTGCGTGTGTGCGCGTGCGCGTGATCGCCTGAGTGTTCACTGTGTGGCTGTGCTCATCAGGATTTTGTATCTCCTTAGGAATGTGTGCGTGGGCCGTCAGGGTTTATGTGTGCTCTGTCTTACACTTGTGAGACTATGCAGCATTTATTAGGGTTGGTAGGAGGAGATCAGAATGGCCTGGCGTAATTTCCTTTACAGTGAGTGAGTTCCTTTGCCTTCCAGGAGGAAAATGAAGAATTAAAAGAGAAGCAAGGTTTGAAAGAGCCCTGGTCCAAACTTGCCCAGGTAGAGCCCTTGAGATCAAATGACAAGTTCTTTCACAGTGCTGCTTAAGCCACTGACAAGGCCAGTGGTTATCAAGAGCATTAGGAATTAAGGAAAATGATAACCCTTTAAAGGAACTTAAGCCACAGGCATTAAGTGTAAACAGCTGAAAATACAAAGATGATTGACACCTAATCTCTACCCTCATGCCTCTGCCACCGGCCCTTATTTCCTCTGCACACACAACCCCAGCCCTCCCTTAAAAAAAAAAAATCATCGCCCATGTTCATCATCAGAAACCATCCAAATACCTCAATCTGGAATATGTGTCCTCCACAGATGAACCCCTGCTGTTCTGGCTCTCCTCCATCCAGCAGAAGCCTCTACCTTCCAATTACCCATTTGTCCCTACTGAAGCCGGAGACACTCATACTTCTCACCTGAATTCTGTACTTCCTTCCTAAACTAGGTCCCCAAATCTTCCCTAGCCTCACTACCCCTCTACAATCATACCTTCCTGTAAATTATGACAGATTTACTTTGGCACTACAGCTTGGGTTTTTATCAGTTTGTGTCAACCTTCCACAAGGTTATAAGCTCATCAATGTCACTGCCTTGCCTCAGTCTCCTGAGTAACTCCACAAGGCTTTGATAAAGTAAACTTCAATAGATAATGCACTGAAACTGAGGAACAAGAAAAAAGCCAAGAAAATCTTCTCTCAAACTTTCTACTTTTATTTATAAATCTATCCCAAATTGTAGGCATATTCCTCTTTTGAAACAATCCAATATAGTAAAGTTGGCCATTCAACTAAGAATGAATTTGAGCCTTCTGAAATCCTAGATGCTATATTTACCATACACACCGCTTACCTGCCATCACCCAGCTAATGGTGATACTCAAGGACTATTTTGATAAAAATAAGATGAATTCTAATCCAACACTTCTTAAATTTTGATACAGCTTTATGGTGTCTAACAAAAAAAAAGTAGGGAAAACAAAGTAAAGTCTCAGGATTTGAAGACAGCACTAAAAAGAAAGTAATGCAAAATGAAGTAATAGTAGAATTAAAATGTAATCCAGTTAAATAATTACCTTGTCTTACATAAAATTCACTTTAGGAAACTCCTCAGCAACACCCATTGCACAATGGGTTTTACTGTACTTATACAAGTAGATTGCAATGCAAGGTGTTTCTGGTTACTTAATGAGAATTGTTTTGGAAACAAGTGACACCCTTCACAATCTATTTTATCAACAGAACCACAATAATTTATGGTAATCCATCTAGCCAAGATGGAGCAACAAAGGACTGAATTAGCTCTCCAGATAAGTCAACTTGAAGGAAAATAACAGGCAAATAAAGCAGGCAGCACAGTACAAGACCTCAGGCCAGTGGTCCAGAAGGGCAGGAAGACTCACACAGGTGAACCCTGTGACTGTCTCACAGTGAGTGGACCAGGCAGCAGTAAGGAGAGAAAGAATTGAGGGAGAGCTCTGCAGACACCCTGAATTGAGGAGCAAGAACTCAAAGATGAAGAAAGTCAATGCACGAAGTTAAAAGAGGAGAGAGCTAGAGAGGAAGCCCTTGAGGCCAGCAGAAAGTTTTGTTCTAGTCTTTAGCAGGTTTGTACATGAGTGTTAGGAAGCTACCCAAGGCCAAGAAAGAATCTACACAGAGAGAACAATCACCAAAATTTGCACAGGGCAGAAAATCATTCCTGTTGTCACAAGCCAGAGTAAGGGACTCAGTGATCATACAAGACCAGGAATAGGGCATGGGCCTGGCACCCAAACTGGAAAACCTCATAATTTATGACTCAAAAGGTCTTGGCTCAGTAGTGGAATAAAATCTACCCTAGAGGAAATTCTGCTTTGGTTGGACAGAACAAATCTTAAAAGCTAGCCCCAAAAGGATCAAACAGTTTCCAAGAACAAAGTGTCCTAAATCAAAGCACAAGAATAATTATAAGAAATCAAAAGCATCTAGCACCCAACAAGGTGAAATTCACAATGTCTGGCAGCCAATCAAAAAGTACCAGGCATTCATAAAGTAATCAGGAAGGAATGACCCATATTGAGAAAAAAAAACAATTTTAAAAAGGCACAAAAATATAGAACTAGTAGACAAGGATGTAAAAAGCAAGTTTCACGGTATTCTATATGTCCACAAATTTGACAAAAGATTAAATATAAGAAGAAAAGACATGAAAATCTTTTAAAAGACCCAAACCAAGCATCAAGAAATTATAAAATCACTGTCAAAGATATTCTTATAAAATCACTGTCAAAGACAATCTCCACTGGTATGAGACTAACAGTAGATTAAACATTACTGAGAAAAAGATCAGAGAACTTGATAACATTTCAACAAAACTATCCAAAATTAAACACAAAATGATCAAAAGACCATATAAAAATTAGCAGAGTATCAGAGAACTTAATATAGATGTAGCTGGAGATATGGAAAAAATAAATATATGAGAGTAATGAGAATTCAGGAGGACAGAGAAAAATATTGGAAGAAATAATGGCTGGAAACTTTCCAAATCTGATGAAAAATATAAACTCACAAATGCACACTCAACAAGCTATAAGTAGAAACATTAAAACTATACCAAGAAATAGCACAAATTGCCAAATTGCTTAAAACTCATGATAAAGGAAAACGCTCAAAATATACTGGAGGGTGGGGGGAGAAACTTTACTGTGTGTAAAACCAAGTTAAGAATGACAGTCAACCTGTCATAGAAATTTACAAAAATGACAGTGAAAGAGCATATTTAAAGTTCAAAGGGAAAAGCGTCAATATAAAATTATTTTCCTCTCTGTGTATGTTTGTGTGTGTGTGCATATATTTTAATATCAAGAAAGTATTAAGATATGTTCTGATAAACAAAGTCTGAGAAAATTACTAACAAGTACTTTAAAATATTAAAAGAAAATTCCTCATGTAGAAAGAAAATGCAACTGGATGGAAACCTGAATCTACACAAAGTAATAAATATTTCAAGATGTCATATATAAGTAAAATATAAGTTTTCTTCTTTTTAAAGGTCTTTAAGAAATTATTTTTAATGTAAAAAATAAAATATTTCCCTGCGAGATTTGTGGTATATGTAGAAATAAAATGTGTGACAACACATTATTGAGAAAGAGGAAATCTCTGTTGTACTATTATTTAACTAAGCTTAAAATGACATAAGAGAATTGGAGGTCTATTATGATAGGTTACAGCTGTATATTCTAACTGTTAAGATAACTCCTAATGAATCAAAACAAAGAATTAATGTTGATAAACTAATAAAGAAGAGTCATTAAAAAAAACCCAATGAATCCAAAAGAGATTAAATGGAAAGAGAGAAAAGAAAGAGAAGTGATAAAGAGAAAGTGAACAGCAAGTTGGTAGATTTAAATCTAAGCATATAAGTGATCACCCCAATTAAGTCAAAGGTTGTTAAACTAAAAATAAAGCAAGAATCAACTATATGACACCTACAAAAATATCACTTTAAGTAGACACATAAGTTAAAATACAAATGGTTGAAAAACAATGTACCATACTAATGCTAATCAAAAGAAATATTGTTTATTATATTAGAATGAAGCAAAAAGGATTTCAATGCAAAGACTATTATCTGAAATAAAGAGGATCACTTCATGCTGAAATCTATCAAGAAAAAACAACTTTAAATATTTATGCATCTAATACAGAGCTTCTAAATAGTGAAAAATAATGAATTTCAAAATTGCAAAGAGAAAGGCCCTCCCTGGTGGCACAGCGGGTTAAAGCACAGCACTGAGAAGCTAAAGCCACTTCCGCATGAGTTCGATTCCCGCCTGCCCGGGAGATGACCACATGGCATGGCAGACCTCTCCTGACTCACCCACTGCTCCCCTCAGCAGTGTACTTCCTTGATCTGCCTGTTTGCTCCCCGCTCTGTCTCTGGTGAAGCCTCTCACCGCCCCTGAGCCTCTGGCCTGTACCCCAGTTCTGTATGCACAAATAAATAAATCTTTAAAAAAAAATTGCAAAGAGAAAGAGAAAACTTGTAATTAAAAACAGCAATTTCCACTCCTCTCTTTCAACAACTGGCAATGCAAAAAAGCAGAAAATTGGTCAAGAAACCCAAGACATGTACAATACTATGCACCAGCGTGGCATGCCTGACATCTACAGAACATTATATTCAATAAGAGAACATCATTCTCTCTAAGTACATATAGATCATTTACCAAGACAGACCAGATTCTGGCAATAAAACAAATGTTCAGTAGACTTATAAGGAATTCAAAATATATAAAACATACCCTCTGGCCATGACACAAATCAGAAATCAATAACTTAGGAGTATCTGAAGAATCCCCAAATATTTGAAAACCTGCATACTTTAATAAAAATGGTTTCAAGGGAAATAAAAATGGAAATTAGAAAGTATTCAGAATTGAATGACAATGGAAACTCAGCACTTCATGATTTGAGGATGTAGTTGAGCAGTACAG